CTGTACTAAGGAAACCCACAAATTGAACAGGCATGCTGGTACGCAACTTGAATCCTAGCACTTGGGAGGCTGAGGCAGGAGGATTTCCATGAGTTTGAGGCCAACCTGAATTACGTAGGTAGATCCTGTCTCCAAAAAGTCAAACAACGAAAAACAAAAATACAAAGACAGAACCCATAAAATTCAGGAGCATGTTGAAAGTGAAAATTTAATGACTTATTATCAAATGTAAAAGCAGAAATAATGAAGCAAGGTAAGCATGATAAAGAATAAATGCTGAAAGCTCAGGTAAAATATTTTACTGGAATTGAAATAGTTACTTTATATCAAGAAAACATTATTTAAAAGTAAGTACATAATTGTAATGAGTACTTAAAAATCATCCAATTATGTAGATCAATTATTATAAATAAAACATGAGGGCCTGGGGAGATGGCTTAGTAGCATAAGTGCTTGCCTGGAAAGCTCAGGGTCCTGAGTTCAATCCCTGGTACTACAAAAAAACCAAAAAGCATAAATAAAGCATGAGTTGTTAGAGGGACAGCTGTCTTGTGAGAAATAGCATGAATTATAAGTAAGAAGATAATAAGTAGGACAATGATTCTGGAAAGTTACTTGGAAACGTATACTAATAGTCTGAACAACTTACTGTTTGTGCTTAGTAGTTCTAATTATAGACATCTGTTTTAACCTAATAGAATACAAGACCAAATATTTAATTTAAATAAATGTATGCAGTAAAGCCTTATGTAACAACAATAGTTAAAACACAGTTTGTTCATATGGTACTCACTTTATGTACAATAAAAATATGAATGTGACTCATGTTTTAATCTCACCATAGGTGTACAAATAAGATTAAGTTGATGACTGTCATAATGATTTCAGGGTAAAAGATCACATTAAAATATCAGCGCTCTTCATACACCAAAAATGAACTAACCAAGAAGGAAATAAGGGAAAAATTTCTATTCACAATAGATTCTGAAAATAAAATAGTTATGGATCATCCTATCTTAGGAGGTAAAAGAACACTACAATGAAAATTACAGAATCTTGTAGAAAGAAATTGAAGACACTAGAAGATAAAAAGTCTTCCCATTGCATGAATTGGTAGAATTAATATATTTAAAATGACCTTACTATACATAGTAACCTACAGATTCATTGCAATCCTCACCAGAATTCTAATGACATTTTCCACAGAACTAAAAAAGAAAAGCAGCAACAACCCTAATATTCATATAGAAACAAAATGACCTAGAAAATCCAAAATAACCCTAAGCAAAAGGCAGGATGGATGCATCCTAATACCCATTTCATTTATACTGCTGTGATATTATGAAAATGTGACAAATCAGTTCATCACAAATACACTCCCCATGCACTGCAAACATGGACTAGTGAAAAACAAAGATAAAAATGTATCCCCTATAGCAACACATAACCTCAAGACTCATAGTTACACAAAGAGAGTTAGGTATGGATTTGTGGCTACCATTCCATACTCAATAAAAAGTGGAGAGGGCTGGGGAAATAGTTTGGCAGTCTAAGTGCCTGCTTAGCAAGCACAAGGAGCTGTGTTGGATCACCCATACTGCATTCCATGCTGGCCCCGCCCCCAGGCACCTGAGCTGTAATCCCAGCTCTAGGGAGGCTGAGACAAGAGGATCACTATGAGTCCAAGCTATGTAGTGAGACCCTGTACCAAATAAATAAATAAAGTATTTTTTGAAAAAGTAAAAGTAAAATAAAAATAAAAGGTGGAGAAAAGAACAGTAAACTTCAGTTTTCATGGTATTTATAAACTGTCTCACACGGTTTATATATAGACAAATATTACTTCTTTCCAACCAGTTTGGACATTCAACTTGCTTTCTTGTCTCTAAGAAATTTTTTTTCCTAATTGCTCCAAATCAAATTTATACTCTGCATTTCTGACATTGTGATGATAACAATCTAAGATAAAATAATTTAATTGTCCATTAATAGTTTAGTTTTAAAAGAAAAAAGAAAGAAAATATATTGGTTTTTTTTACTCACAGAATTATTTGACTTTTCAATTTCTTTACACAAATATCAGAAACAGAGTTTTTAATGGTAAGGAGAAAATTAAGTCAACATGAGAAAATGTGACAAGAGAATTTTAAGGCCTCTGTTAAAAAAGTCATCAGGGCCAGTCAGATAGCTTAGTGGACTAAAGTGCCTGCTTAGGCAGAGTGCAACTTCCGAGGTTCAAGTCCTGGCCTGCCATGCCAGCTCCATCCCCAGGGCACATTGAGACAGCAATTGAGACTTTGTGTGGTGGTGCACACCTGGAATCCCAGAGCTTGGGATGCTGAAAACAAGAGAATCGCTACAAGTCCCATTTACATAGTGAGACCTCATAAACCCTGTACCAAATGCATTTTAAAAAGTCATTAATATTGTATACCTTAAAAGTTAGTGTGCATTTTTTTCGTAGCAGCAAAGACTAATATCTCTATATTTATGCCTCAATTAAAGGGAATATATTTTAATAGTATACTAGAAAAACCATGCAAATGGAAAGCTGTCAGAAATAGATATAATGAGATATCAAAAATAAAAGGACTTTAATATTTGCAAGAATAAGCTTACACTAATGCGGTCTTTGTTAGCATATTTGGGTATCCAGTTTGCTTCAATGTTATTGGTAAGATTAGAAGATGCATACATAACTACAAACACACTCAGCTACCTTATCATTGACAAAGAAACCAAGCCCATGCACTGGAAGGAAGAGAGTCTCTTTAATAAATGCTCCTGGAGAAACTGGCTTTTCACATACCAAAGACTAAAACTAGACTATACCTATCAACATTCTCTGATCAAATTCAAAATAGATCAAACATCTAAATATTAAAACAGAAACACTAAATCTATATGAAGAGAAAGTAGGTAGAAATCTTGAAGACACAGGTGCAGGTAGCATTCATGAAGCAAACCCAAATTGCACAAGAGATATTTCAAAGTTTCAACACATTTAAAGAAATCTCAAACAAAGTCAAAAGACAGCCTACAGAGTGAGAAAAAAAATTAGCCAATTTTCCCTCAGAGGACTTTTATCTAAAACATACAAAGAACTGAAAATAACTTCCCCTCTAAATTTTAAGCCTCAATCTAACTGTGGGTGTCATATGAAGAAATACAAATGGCATATAAAAATGTGAAAATATGTTCGTATTACTGGTCAATTGAGAAATGCAAATTAAAACAACACTGAGATTTCATTTCACCCCAGGAAAAATAACTATCATCAAATATCAACCAATAACAAATGCTAGCTTGGCTATAGGGAAGAAGGAACCCCTCTCCTCTGTTTCACAGCCACTGTTGAAATCACTACTGAGATTCATCAAAAAGCTAGGATTAGAGGTCCTATTTGACCTAGATTGTCCCTTTCTTGCTATTTTCCGAAAAGAATTAAAAACATCCTACCACCACTATAAATGTGCACCATGTTTATAGAAGCACAATTTGTTGCATTTAAATCTTGGAAACAACACAAATACCTATCAACCAAGAAATGGACAAAAATGTTTGCGGTATTTTTGTACAATGAAGTACTACTCAGCCATAAAAAGATAAATATGAAACTTTTATAGGTAAATACATGCAACTTGGGACAATACTCATAAGTGAAATAACTCAGATTCACATGTGTAAGCGTCATATTGTCTCCCTGGTAAGAGAAACTGACAGACTAAATATCATCTATCATGTACAGTAGATGTGGTAAAACAGGAAGATGTTGTACAAAAGAAGGAATCTAGAATAGGGGAAGGGAAAAAGGGAAAAATGCAACCAGTTACACTTCTAGTGTCTCTTAGCTCTCTGAAAAGAAGGGTTTGTGCTCATATCAATTAGAGAAATTTTAATATCTTCTACTCTGAATAACTACTTTAAAGGTAATAATAACGTTATTAACCTATTATCTTGTTATGAAATTTAATGGCATTTTCCATAAAAGAAAAAATACTGTTAAACATTCTTTTATAATGACAGGTTTATTTTAATGATAAGCTGATAATTCTTTTTTTTCTTAAGAAAAATAAGTTTTATAATGTCTAAGGAAGTATAGGAGAATCATTGAATTATTAATAATGTCCTTACTTGACAGAGTAGAGCAAGACCTCCCGACTCCATGCCTTTACTCCCTGTTCTCCTTCAATGATGATCACTATGAGTTGATGCAGTAGTGGAGGTGTCCACAACCACTTAATCCATCCATCCCGTAACATCCCGGAGCCTTGTGCGTGTTCTCTCATACAATATGTTCAGTGTGCATAAAACTCTCCATACTGCATACATTATGTTCTGAGTGCAAAGGGTATATGGTCTACTTATAATTCATATAAATAGCATACAGGAAGGAATATTAGAATGGAGTATCTAGGTGTGGTTGCTCTGTAATTTTTCCTTGGGATATGTTAAAAGCTACAACTGTATGCTTTAAAAAACCTCAAAGATAATTTTGGGTAGGATTTTGTCCTGCTGGGGATTATGTAGAATTCTAGTCTATTCTTCCCTTCAGCCTTTCTTTACCTCCTAATTTATCCTGGATCCTCAGATTTTGCTGTGCCTTTTTTTTTTTAGCTTTATCTGAACAATATGGTGTGCTAGCTTTATAATAAGGAGATAGATTCATTACACTGAAAGATGTACGCTATTCACGAGTTTCTAGCCAGCCATCAAGGTATCATCAAATGTTGTTTATCTTGGGGAATGAAAGTTTGAATGGAAAATTAAGCTCCCACACTAGGTATAGCCAGGCAGTGGATCATTTTGTGCTTTAATGTCACACCTCACTGGCCACACTTCACAGTGTAGTGAATCATGCTTAAAACAAACAGCCTTTAATGCCAGCAGGTAACACAGCAGCGGTGAATAATAAGTGTTGGCGGGCTTAACTTTCTCTTGCGGTATTCTTTCTCTGGTGCCTGATGGACAATTTACAAAGTACGCATGCTATTTTATAGATTGGAACTTGGGATCCAGCCAGTGGCTTGAATATGACAGAAAGCCAAAAGGGAAAGCCAGCTAATATCACAGATTCGTTATCTAATCGGTCTCTCATTGTTACCACCATCTTGGTAAGTGTATTCTTCCATTATTTGGAGATAAATGTGGCTATACATAGAAATGAATATAAAATCATAATTACTGCAGTAATAAACACAATGTTTATCTCTCTCTTTCTATATTTATTTATTTATTTATTTAGCCATTACTGTTAAACAGACAAGTCAATAGTTATTTAAGTACATTTTTAATTTTCAAATATTCAGTGATAACAGTTTCGTGGATTACTGAACATGTTTAATTGCTACAAATGCAGTTGATACTGAATATTTGTCAGTATTAAAGTTTAAAAAGTACATAGGCATGCGAAGATTTTTAGATATAGATATAGCTACAGATACATTAATATTTAGCTATATAAATCTTTAAATGAGAAAGCAAAAATGAACTTGATTTCTGCTCTTTTTCTACAGATATCTTTCAATGGCTATAGTGTTTATCGCTTTTCAGATTTTTCCATTATATTTTTATGCTAACTTTTGTGTTCATTCAGTTTGGTGAATCACTTTATTTATCCAGTCTCACTGATGAAATCAAAGGGCCAGTGTATTTTTAAGCCAGAAATATTTTCGTTACTGGCGGGATTAAATTAACATAGATAAGCTACATATTATTGCCTCTGTTATAATTGTGTGGTATAATTAGATGGCAAAATAATGATCATTTACGTCATTTGCTGAAGAAAATTTTAATTTTAGAATAAGGTTGGGGCTCTTATTTACTCAGCACTTTCTATCCAAAGAATGAGCTCCTTGGGTCCCATTCCTTATGGATCTCCAAGCAGGCAGATGGATGGGAGGTTAGTGTCCACGTAAAACCAAAAATTAATTAATTAATTAGCATTTATATGATTTCTAAATGTGATCTACAATAAAGAAATCAAGTTGGGAATAGTTCTTATTCATACCTTTTGAGTAACAAAATATCATATCCAAACTCTCAGTATCTTCTCTAACTTAATTTTACATCTTTCATTTCAAAGACAGTCCCTGTTCTTTAGCTGAAATACCTTTAGCTGGGTGTGGTGGCACAGGCCTGTAATCCCAACGGATGCTCACACAGCTGAAAGTAGAAGCAGGTTTTCTCCAATCTGTTGGGCCAATTCAACTCATAGTGCTATAACGTGAGACTTCTAATGCCTTGCTATAGAAAAGCCTAACCACTGCAGCATATGAAGAAGAATAGCGTCTTGCTTTAGTGCTGTTCCCTTCTTTGCCTCCAGAGTCCCACACATGCCAGGGCGCTGGGCGGTCCTTGCACCTGTGCTCCTCCATCACTCGCTGTCTCCTCATGGAGCCCTGTATGTAGCTGCGCTAAGTTGGACACATTGGCCTTCCCATTTCGGTGTTCTCTTAATTTAGTACTCAGGCTTTCTATCAGCTCCTCTAAGTTGTAATCTCACATTCTCCTGAGAAAATGGAAGAGGATTGGCACTTATCTTACTTTTTTTCTGTTTTGAATTGTGATTAAGGATTGAGCTATTCATACCACAAGTTTTTTTTTTTTTTTTTTTCCATTTTAACAGCATACTTTAGAGCCAATATGTTGTGCAGATGGGTATAACACAGAGTTGTGTTGTGGAGAAGATGCACTGTAGAAAACGCTGGGCAGCTTCATTAACTCTTTGTTTTGAAGTAAAACTTAAGTCATAATAAGCCTGCAATGCTTGTGTCCTCTTTTTTATGTCTGCAAGTAAATCTCCATTCTCGTGGTGCCCTGCTTCACATTGCTTCTCTATATTGCCTTGCTGAACTTTGAATTTCAAATTCAATTGTTGAAATTCCCTTGAATTTTTTTTTTGTTTGTGTGCTTGCTCTGCTTAATGGAGATAAAAATGATCAACTTTAGAATCATGTTTGTATTTCTAAAAATTTTATTTATAGATGTTGTTAAAAATAGAGGTTTCAGGTTACCAAAATAACAACAAAAGCATTAATTCTGATCACCTAGAAAAATCTCTAAAAGAATATGCAATAGCTTTTTTTTGTTTTAAACTAGGTCCTACTCTCATTTCTGCTATCTATCTACTAGCTGGGGAGTATTAAAAATGAATATTTATTTAGGTTCTTATAAGGATTGTATTTTTCCTTCTGAGTTTTTGATTTTAAATAGATTTTTTTCACTTCTATCTAAATATGTTGAGTGCTTTCCACTGTGCTCCTCTTGTATAGTAATTGATTTTAGTCCATCAAAAGATTACTGGCATCTTTTGAAATGCCACTGTCCATGTTCTTTCACTCCCAGATGCGGAGCACTTCAGTATGCAAATAACCATTCAATGGACCTGTGCATTGACTTTTTCAGAAAAGCATTTGTTCTCAAGGAAAGTCTTTGGTCCCAGTTGTTCAATTAATTTAATAAATATATCTGCTCCTGCAACTTTGTGGGTTTTAAAAGAATTTCCAGCACACTCTAGAAAGTTGTACACTGTAGTATCCAGCTTATTTGCATAAGTGTGGTAAAGCTTTTTCTTTTTCTTTCTTTCCTTTTTTTTTTTTCTTTTGTCATTGCATTGAGACAGGATTATCTGACAGCAAACTCCCAATGACAGTAGAAGCTTCATAGTACATAAGAGAGGAGGGACCGAATCCTCCTCCAAACGGTGCTACAATTCTCCCGTAATATCAACAGCAGCACAGTGTAGGGCCCTAACTTGGCTACTTCCTGAGTTTTCGCTCCGATTCTTCTCTTCCCGTTGTTGCAGAAGTGCTATCATCCTACGGTTCTGCTCAGAGCGCCACACGGCCTCTGGGCTTGAAAAGCCAGATGCTGCAGCTCCACAAATAATGACATTTTCACTCTCAGCCACCTATAGAGCAGGTATGAGCAGCTTTAAGTACTGTGTGAATAATAAGATCAACGTAATTCACAGGTGTAATAGGCAGATGCAGGCGCCACTTCCATGTGAGGTGCGAGAGGCTCCTTGACCTCCGATGGTCCTTGTGAGCCATCCCGCAGCCAGTACGTTCAAGGCAGCCGTGCTCCTCTCACTGTATGTTTTTCCTTTGTCACTGACTATGCTTATGTAATGTTTCTTCCTTGCGTTCTTACCCTTGTAGTCCATTGTGTTCAATTCCTAATGTATTTTATTTCTCCTTTTTTTAAAGCTACATTAAGTATAAATTGGTGAGTGTTGGTAAAAAAGGAGGGAAAAACTAGAGGAAAATATATGAATTCTGTCTTGATAATATGTATAATTTAAAATCTTAGCGTGTTAATTTTTTAAAGCCTCACAAATGGCATATATGTATTTTTTTCTTATTTTCTTGACCCATCTTTATTAAATTTACTATAAGTTTATCATTATGATAAACATTTTAAATTATTTTCAATTTGTTTTTATATTAGTTTTCATTGCCAACATTTTTCTCTGCTGTATATTTCCAGGAAAGACTTTTATTACCGACAATTGCTTGTTCTATGTAGAAGAAACAATAGGAAGTATGAATGATGTGTTTAGCTTAACCACTAGCAAACTACTTTGGGAAATATTTTTCTCCCCTTACTCTTCTCATTTGTAAAGATGTCATCATAACAGGAATGTATACAATTTAAATTTAAGTCTGACTTTGAACTGAGATTCAGATATAAATTTTCAGCCGCTCTTTGAACATAGTTACCTTGATGTCCAATTTCAAATTCAGCATGCATGCAAACTTTTGCTTCAATTCAGGCTTCACTGTCTCTATTTTTTTTCTCTATTTTGAATCTGTTTATGATTTCAGTACCTTTTCATTTAAGGGGGCCAGAGTTTGTTTTCTTAGATGTTTAAGTCTCTTTGAAACACATACCTGCAGTTTAGGTATGGAAATAGAAAAAATATACCGGATTGTACCAGGAAGAATCAATAAGGATATGGGTCAAGAACTGTTCTAGGCAAATGAGTTGTGGTTTGTTTACAGTGATATGTATGGGGGATCATTGGTACAGTATGCTTTGAAAGACATTGCACATAGAGAAAAGTAAGAAGTCGGCAAGTTAAAAAATCAGGTGTTGAGTTTCTTGGAGAGTATTAGGTGAGGTAGAGGTCTATTGAGCAATGTGCAAAACTTTAGAGGTTAAAATCTGAGAGGCAGGGTTGTTGATGTTGCCATGGAAGTGTCAGGAAGTCGTGTGTGAGTGGAGGTGTTAGCACTAATTTTTATGCATTCAAATCTCGATTATTCATGTAAAAAGATAATAAATTACACCCAGAGATGGAATGCAGTTTAGAAATTAGCTAATAGGTGCAGTCTGCTTGCCCTTCAAGCCTTTTACTGGAAGAGCAGTGAATGGTGTGTTTGATCTGAGCCTTGCTTTTCCACGCCTCTTTGTTCTTCAGCTGTGAGTGACACTAATGAAAAATGTAATGACCAAAATACAGATATCGGAAATACTGTAAACATCCAAGATCTTGCATCTAAAATGATAATTCAATCAGGTGGGAAGTTTAATATCATAGCACATTTTGCTAAACCATGACCATGTTTTCTCTACACAAGAATGAATAATAATCACTAAGCCAGATCTTCCTTTGTACCCTTTGACATCAGTAAGTACCTTCCTGAAATATGGATGAGTAGCCAAGCTCTTATCCTTTTCTCTTAGAAGGTTAAGATTAGCTTTATTAGTTTTACAGTGTTAAGTCCAATTTTAGGTGATCATGTATTACCTTTTGGGGGACAAAAGCCTTTCTTCCCATCATCACAAATCATAGCAAATTTTCTCTAGGAATAGGACAAAAGTAGAATCTCTTCCTAGAGTGATGATTCTAGTTAACAGCAGCTTAGTCCTTTTTCCTATTGTACATTATATAAATTCCCTGAAATTATTCTGAAAGGAGGCAAACACATTTTGCAGCAACTAATAATATGATGATCCCTGCATAATTTACTGTAGGATTGGCATGTATGAAAATCATGAAAAGCACACTACTGCCTGATGGCTTGCAGAAAGTAAAGGTAAGAAAAAAAATCAAAAAACAAAAAAGACAGTAAAAATTTTTCTAAATCCTCTCAGAATGTTCTTGAAA